AAGCAATTGAAGAGTCCACCAAGTGGCAAATGGATAAAGAAAATGTGGTGTAGATACGCAGTGGAGTACTATTGAGCCTTTTAAAAAAAAGGAAATCTTGCCACTTGGCAACAACATGGGTGAATCTAGAGGATATTACGCTCAGTAATATAAGTTAGATACAGACAGACGAATACTACATGACCTCACTAATGTGTGGAATCTCAAAAATGTGGAAATACCTATAATAACAGAGAGTAGAGGGGAGGTAACCAGGGACTTGGGGAGAGAGATCTCGGTCAGAAGGTACAAACCTTCAGTTATGAAGTGAGTGAGTACTGGGTACCCGACCGAGTTCAGCATAGTAACTGTAGTTAACAATAAGGAATTGTATACTTGAAATTTGCTAAAAGAGGAGAGCTGAGGTGTCCTCAGCTCCACCAAAAAGTCACTATGTGAGGTGACCAATGTTAGTTAGCATGTCGTGGTGATTATTTCACGTGTGCAGATACCCAGTCATCACGTTGTACACCTTAGGTAGGTAGAGATTGTATTTGTCAATCATACCTCAATAAGGCTGGGAAAAAATTTGTCACCACTGCTTCTGGGGAAAGAAGTGAGAGACTGCTTCTTTTCATAACAAACCTTATTAGATGAGACGATGGGACATTTTTGAAATCTGTGTCCATATAAAAATCAAGACAAAATAACATGCAAACACACACAGCAGAACAGAGTCCGGCATCAGAAAGGTACGAACGAAGCTCAGGGTGGATTGGAAGGAAATGGTGCTACATTATTATCTGGGTTAATGAGGCACAAGTGTTAAGGAAATTTCTTTAGTCACTTATTTTAAGATATTCTTTTTTAGCTTCCAGTCTTAGCATATTACTTCTTGTTGAAGTCATTAGTAGGAAGAATTTCAAACTTTGCCTTTGATCATTTTAATTGTTGCATTTTTAGTTTCCTAGCCTTGGTTTTTCTCTAGTTTGTGGTCAAAATCTGATAAAAAGCTGTCATAAGAAACAATGGACACGTGAGTATCTTTATGAGATGATGGATATTAGACTAAAAAGTGAAGACTGCATGCAGTCGGGTATCCAGATGTTTTCCAATATTGGGATGTTGCCATGTAGCTTAAACATCTGGATGGCGGGCTAAAATAACTACATCCAGATGCCTGCTGTCAAGTAGACACAGGTGAAGATTTTGTAATTCTAACAAATACAGAAATGTAAAAAGGCAGTGGGATCTTTTGATAATTTTTCTTTCTGCTGAGTTAAAAGGAACATACTGCCCATCTGTTCAGAAGCATTTTGCCTAACCCAGAGGACTCTTCTTAGGCATGGAATTGCATTTAATGGTGCGCAGGCTGCGCCCCTGTCTCCCCATAGCGGCAGAAATGGCAGCTCCAGAGCCAGGCCATTATCGAGGCTAGCGCTAAGTGGTTGCCAGCACTCACTGGCCCCTGACACTTTTGAGCAATTATGGGGAGACTGTAAATGTGTGATTCAAGTTGATGCTGAACTGGCTTGTCATAGGCTGCAAAGTGGTCTGTATATTTGCATGTCCATGTTTTTACTTAGGCTTTCCATTTCTCTCTCTCTAGAAAGTTACAGAAAGAACTGCTTCTTTATGGTCACTGATAAACAGTAACAAAGAAAAATTCAAAAACCCCTTCTATACTAAAGAAATCAATCGAGTTCTGTATCCAGTTGCCAGCATGCGTCACTTGGAACTCTGGGTGAATTACTACATTCGATGGAATCCCAGAATCAAGCAACAAGTAAGTGGAGTAGCACTTTCAAGATAGGTGATATTGACTGAATCATTACTTCTGACCTTAAGTGATGTTAGTTGACATTTATGAGGGAAAATATCAGACAAAAGACCCCCACACACACTGACACTCATTTTTTATTATTTTTTTAATTGCCAGATGGTATCTGCACTTACCAGAGAGAGACAGAATGAGAAAGAAATAGGGAGAGGGAAGGAAGAAGCACCCCTCATGGGAAATGGTCACACCATAATCCCATCTCCATTTCTTCATCCTGTCAAGATTTGGGGCATGCATGCACACATGCTCAGAGTGTTTTTTAAGCCACCAGAGCAAAGATTTTAACCATGGTTGGCCCCATGTATCTGGCTCCCCCAACCAGTAGGCTACAGGCCAGCCCCCCACACACTTGTTTTTAACCACAACTTTAATTTAAAATTGTTTTTAATTACTAAGCCATGTGTTTTGGTGCTAAACTAAAATTCCTCTGCCAGCGTGAATGATGTAATCTTTTACTCAAAGGAAAGCTGATTTAAAGGTTTAGGAAATGTCTGAGTTTTCATAGCCAGGGATTTCTTTCAGTCACTTGAAGTGGTTATACTTCATGTGTCCACCATTGACCAGACTCCGATGCTTCTGTCATGGGAAGGAAGCATTTCCTAGTCTCTGATTCAGGAGTATATACCAGGTTGGCTCGCAGCCAGTGCTTCCTACTGAGCATCTTTACTTCTGAAATAAAGACCCTTTGTCAGTCCATGGATAGGAAATTCAGCTGGCCATTTGTCAATCAGAAATAGAAATGGAGAACCAGCAGGTGGCATGGAGGTTAAGGCTGTATCTCACATAGCCTACCGTGCTAAGTCCCAGACCCAGCAGTTTGAAAAATGCTGGGTACATGTGTGTGCATGTTCAAAATCTTAAGAGGAGAAGGAATTGCAGTGTGGTCAACCCCCTTGGGGGGTTATTTCTCACTTTTCCTCTCTCTGTCTCTTGTCTCTCTCTGGCAAGTGTGTGTACCCTATAGCAAAAGCTGAAAAAAAAAAAAAGGAAATGGATTTTCTTGAAGTGAAGGACTCCACATTTCATCAAAGACACTCTTGAGCTGTCCATTTTCCTGTCCACATTCCATCCAGAATCAGAAGGAAAAACCCTGTGTGTAAAGGCTTAGAAGTCGTTCCAGTCACTGACTGACTGTAACCATTAGAGATCTTCCGTATCTGCAGTGTTAGAGACTTCCAGTATCCTCAATGACACCTCAATGAAGGTGTGCATTTTCCTGCAGTTTGGGTGGCCGGCTGCCTATTCTCAGGCATCCTGTGCAGCGTTGGCTCCGCTCCGACTCGCTTGGAGCTGGCGGTGTGGCAGAGGGCTGCCTGTGGCTGCCTCTCATTGCTTATTCCCCTCAGACAGCTGGCCATGCACCAGTCCAGGTGCTCCAGTCATGGAGGGATGTCTGTTCGAGCTGGCACCCTCATTTCAGTGTCTCTGCTGCCCGTGTGAAAGGCTTTTGCAATTCATCCATGGTTGAAATGTGTTTTCTTTGGGAAAGTAACAGATCCCAGGGCTTGAGAACACTCACTTGTTTAGTTTGGGAGTCGATATCACATTGAGGGAATTTATTTAATAGTTTCTAGAGTTTGGAATATCACGTACAGAATGAGAGTTTTTCCAGGGTCCTAACTGCTTTTACAGAGGACATGTTCCTTTCTAATTAAAAAATACTGTACAGACACACACAGCATATCACATTGAGGGAATTTATTTAATAGTTTCTAGAGTTTGGAATATCACGTACAGAATGAGAGTTTTTCCAGGGTCCTAACTGCTTTTACAGAGGACATGTTCCTTTCTAATTAAAAAATACTGTACAGACACACACAGCATTTGTCTTATAAAATAAGTATCCTCTCTACTTGGCACAACTTTTCTGTTGTGACCATGGGCAATTAGAAAGTAGAAACTGTTTCTGTACAGATTCTGTAATCTCTTTTCATCCATTTGTGCTTAGAAGAGTTTTATTTATGTGTCTTTTGCCATAGGGTGCATGCGCTTGCTGGAGACAGAAAGATAGTGAGAGGCAAAGTGAGAAATTACCCCCTAGGGGGGACAGCCATGCCACAATCTCTCCTCTTCCATTCCCCTCCCAGGATTTTTCAGCATGCACACAACTGCCCGTTGTGATTTTCAAGTCACCAGGTCCAGAATTTGAACCACAATTGGCCATGTGGGAACCCAGCGCCCCAACCACTATACCACCTGCTGACCCCAGTTGGAGGAATTCTTAAAAGTTAAGGAATTTAGAGCGTTTTTTGTTTGTTTGTTTGTTTGTTTGTTTTTTTGGAGAGGTTTTTGCTATATGGCACGTGTGCTCGCCAGAAAGGTAGAGACAGAGAGACAGAAAGTGAGAAATCACCCCCAGGGGGGATGGCCGTGCTGCAATCCCTTCTCCTCCATTCTCCCCTCAGGATCTTGGGCACGCATGCACACATACCCGTGAGTTTAAGCCACCAGGTCCGGGCCTTGAACTGCAGTCAACTATATGGGAGTCCAACGACATAGCCATTATGCCAACTGCTGGTCCCTAGAGCAATTCATTTCTGAACACATAAAAATAATAGTAGTCTGGTGACTAGTTAAGCTTGAGGACACATCCTTAGAAGAACTCATCAGAATATATGTGTCCCCCTTAGTCTCGCAGAGCATAGCACAGTGGAACGGAGCCAGGTAAGAAGGCTCATTCCCTGGGGGAGGTTTTCATTTTGAAACAGAAAATGGTCTCTATCACGACCTGATGCATTTACTCAAAAAGAAAGGCAATAGCCTGTTCTTTCCGTATAGGTTTTCCAAACACAAGGTGTCCTATACTCATCTCCGTGTCCCTGGATACTTTGCATTTTCATCTCCCAAATAGCAAGCATTGCCATGCATCAGGCTTTGGGGGCACAGAGATTAAAATAGGAGTCTCTACCCACAAGAAGCTCCCAGGCTGGCAGGGGCAGTCGGGCACAAGCTGATGGTTATCACGCAGGGGAGTAAAGGGGGATAAATACAACAGTAGCAGTGTGAACTAAGCACGCTACATCGTCTTCAAGATCTGCTTATGTAGACCATCATCTCACACCGAAATAGGTGAAAATCAAAGGACACAGGATTTTATGAATGTATTTATTATTTGTTGTGATCTTCAAGCCACCAGGTGTGAATCCAGAGCCTCAACCACCACTCCACCTGCTGGCCATTTATTAATTTTTTAAATTACTTTTAAAAATTTACATTTAATCACTGCACATCTTGACGGCATTCAACATAGTTTTTCTCAGCATGCACACAGTGTGTATCAGTCACGTCAAAGATATTACCATATGTATTATCTTCAACAGATAACTTTTTTGCGTGTGATAATGCTTCTCTTTTTTATAATGTGCACCTAAATGAACACACTTTACCACTTAAAAGTTAAGTTATTCTTCAGTGGTGTGACTCAGAATGTTTATACTTGCTGGGCACCCATGTACTCACATACTGTAGTGTGCCGTCCACGTCGAAAGATACACAGGGAGAGACAGCATCCCTCCTAATGAGCTGTTAATCTCAAAGAAGGTAAAGCTAGTGTGCTTTTAAAAGCAGAAGCCACCACCCACCCTTCACTGTGATATAAAAATTTTGCTGAGTTTATGGAGAGAGTGTGTTTACAGTTGACAAGCGGTCAGCTAGCAGCTCTGGAACTTGTGTTTGTTCGGTTTTGCCATAAGGCGTGCACTTGTGGTAAATTGACAGAGACAGAGAGAAGGAAAGTGAGAAATCACCCCCTAGAAGGGATGGCCATGCCACCATCCCTTCTCTATTTGCCTCCTGGGATTTGGGGTACTCCAGGACTTGAACCATGGTCAGCCATGTAGGAACCGAACACTCCAACCACAACTCCACCTGCTGGCCCCAGCTCTGAAACGTTTATGTAGCATGGGGAAGTTACTTATGCCAAAGTATAAACTAACCATCTCACAAACCTGAGTGGGAGCTTCACCTGCCAGTGGGCCTCATCCTGTACTTGGGGAACCCCTGCACCCCATGCATTATAACTTTTACTCAGGGTGTCATCAGATGTGCTTAGACGTTGCTTAGTGGAAGCAAGGGTTGGAAATGAGGACAGTCAGATATCAACAGGCTGCTCTGAGGGGAATTTGAAAAAGTTTCTTCCGATGCTGAAGCTGAAAGGAACAGGAATAGAAAAAGCATGTCGAGCCTGAACTACTGCCATGGCGAGCCGGTTGCCGCTCCTGGTGTGTGCTGAGCTTGCACACACTGCACTTCCTACTTCATTCCCCAAGCGAGCAGTCGGGTACAATACCTCACATCAGTGACTTTCGGCTTTGTTTCTTGTTATTTTCTGTCACAAATGGACTCTCCTATTCAGAACTCTAAATGTGTATGTGTGTGTAGGCTAATGGCTTCACTAGATTTTGTCTCCATTCCTAAAATGAATTTTCTCCTGATTTCTAAGTTTTTCTGTTTACTCTCTCAACTTTTCTAATGGTACAGTCACGCCATCTGCAAAAATGATTGTGTTACCTCTGATTTCTTGTCGAACCACACATGCTGATTCTCATACTCAAACTGATTCTGAATTCTTGTTCTAATTCTAACATTTATACAAAAAAGCAAGGCTTCAGAGATAACCAAGACACTTTGGGAGGAGAACATTAAGGAAGAACTGGCCTTACTGTATATCAGGACTCATTTGGAACAGAATAGCACCTGGAAAGAGACTACACAGCTGAGCACACTTGGCGTGTAGCAGGGAGGCAGCACTGACTTCGTCATAGGCAGGGAAGAGAGGTGACCGTTCCTCAAACCGTGCCCTATCCCAGCAGAGCTCCTGCTGCTCCCACTCCTTTTCCTGCCATCTGCCTTGTCACTCTGGCCAGAAATTTTACAGTGTCCCTCAGCTTCTTTGTCTCCACACCCTATATCCAGTGTGTCAGGAGAACCCATCAGGCTTTGCCTTCAAAACTGTACAGAGGCCCAGCCACTGCCCTGGGGCAGCTGCCTTCCCTCTCCCGTGGGTGGCATGGAAGCCTTCTAGCCACAGTCCCATATGTACCCCGCTTCCCTCCAGTCTGTCCTCAGTGTGTAAAGCAGACATTAGATCATACTGCTCCTGTGCTCCAAACCCGCCTCTCTCAGAGGCAGGGCCTAAGTCCTTAAGATGGTCTCAAAGGCCTCAGGTGACCCCTGTCCTGCCCCTTACATCTCCGACCTAGCTCCTGACCTCCTCACCAATTCTCTCACACTGTGGGCAGCCACATGGGGCTCTCAGCTCTTCCTCAAAGAAGTACCTACCCTGGTCTCTCCATCTCCTTCCCATGTTTCCCCAAAGGTGGCCATTCCTGTGCAGCTTGCTGCAACCACCCAATTTATTAGGTTGTCAGAAAATTTAGAACACCCAGAAAAAAATAAGACTTTTCTGACAACACAGTAGATTGGAACTGGCACCCTACTGTCCCCATCCCTGTCACTTTTCTCTGCTTTCCTATAGTATTGGTCACCTCCTCAGATGGTTGTTCTTGTCTGTCTGTCTCCTCCGCGGGGGGGTAAGCACCACGAACATGGGGCTTGGGGCCCCTGTCCACTGGCAGGTCCTGAGCACCTTGAGCAGTGCCTGGCCCTCGTCATGGCAAAGGCCGTTAGCAAGCAGTGCACAGCACTTACTGGGTGCCAGGCGCTCTGGCAGCACCTTGCTCTAGGCCATTTGGGAAAGTCCACACTGCGACGACATTGCACACTCAGTGTGTCAGTGATTCTGGGAAGAATGGGGTTAGGATGGGACCTCTGCACACCTGGGGTCCTTTGTAACCAGAGGGCCCGTGAAAGCAACAGTCCCCGGCAGAAATACAGGCACAGCTGCAGCTCTGCTGCCTTTGTGCCTGGCCTCAGCTCCTCCCAAACAGCAGCTCTACCTGAACCCTGGGGTGGGGGACCTTATCTTTGAAAGCAGTCATTGGCATCACAATGAAGTCTGGGATCTCAAGGAGAGGTCATTCTGGGTTGAGGAATGGCAGGTGTCCTCATAAGGAGCAGGAGGGGAAGATCTGAGACACACAGAGGAGCCGAGACCATGTAAACAATGAGGCAGAGGGTAGAGTGGTGTGGCTGCAAGCCAGGGAATCCCTAGAGTCACCGGAAGCTGGAGAGGCAAAAGGCCCTCCTGTGGAGCCTCTGGAGGGTGCACAGCCCTGCCAACACCCTGACTTGGGGCTTCTTGCCCAGCAGAACTGTGGGAGAATACATTTCTGCTGTTTCAAGCCACCCTGTTTGTGTTAATGTGTTAGGGCAGCCACAGGAAACTCCTACCTGGTCTTACTCCCTAACATCTCTGCTTCCTCCTCTGGGATTCAGGCCCTGGAGGGTGTCTTCTTCCAGGGGGGACCCTCTCCTCTGGATTCAGAGCCAGTTCCAGCTTTCTTCATCAGTGCATTATCTTCACCACTTCCTTATGGGCGCTCAGAGCTTCAGTAGATGGCTTACAGAGCAAAGCAGGGTGGGCTGGCAGCCCCTGCCTGTGCTAAAGGAAAAGCCTTCTGTAGGCCTTCAGCTGTCTTCTTAAGGACTTTAGATGTCACCTGAGCTTTCTAGACCCCCCCCCCCGCCACTTCAAAACATTACCTTTCTGGGGTGCTGTTCTGTTGTATGTCTGGGTGGCATACCGAGTGTGTGTGTGTGTGTGTGTGTGTGTGTGTACGCGCGCGCGCGCGTGTGTGCACATAGAGGTTCAGAGAGCTGGATGTTTGAAATTTTTGCACCCTGTGTGCCTTATAGGCCAGGACAAAAGTTTATGAAATTAGCATGGCAGGGAGACTCAGTGCCTTCTTGACTCATCCAGAAAATGGGCACTGTAGCCAACAGACCGTGTTAAGTCACTTCGCTCTCACAGTAACTCTGAGTTCATGCCATTGTCATCCGCATTTTATAGCTAGAAAAATGGAGGCCCACAGAAAGTTAAGTTGCACAGCCAGTGAGGGAAACCTTGCATTCACACCCAGGCTGGAGGTATCAGAGACTCTCCTGCCAGCCATGTGTTAATGTAGGCAATAAGTACATGAGAAGAGGTTCTGGCAGAGCAGTGCCAGCCCCAACTGCTGTGACAGACTATCTGAGAGCCTGCAAATTGGCAAAAATAATAACAGTAGTGGTATGATCCCAAGTTCTGGTGAGAGTAGCAGGCAATAGGAACTGCCAGGCCACCGGCAGGGGGCACTCTGCCCACCTCATGTAAACAATGAGGCAGAGGGTAGAGTGATGTGGCTGCAAGCCAAGGAATCCCTAGAGTGACTGGAAGGGGGAGAGGTAAAAGGCCCTCCTGTGGAGGCATTACCCTCTCTTCCTCCATCACTGCTTCCCGGGAAGGCATCACAGAAACGGCCGCCCATGTGCTCCAGACGTGTGCATGGGGTTGATAGTCGGCACAGCCACATGGTACTGCCCAGCAGCTGTCAGCACAGCCACCTGGGTGGGCTGGGTGGGTACACTGGTACAGAGTCCTTCAGTGGCACTCAGCCTGGAACCAGTTCAAAACGCCTAAAGCTGGCTCAGAATGCCAGTCAGTGACTCCAGAACGGGATGAGTGGTGCAAATGCTGACAAAATTTGAAGTAGTACAGTATTGTATTTCAGTTCTGGATGCTCCCGGGAAGCGTATCACAAAGCTGCCAGGAAGGACAGCCCATGCCAGCCTCCAGCCTGGGAAGAGTTGCTGTCCCTCCGAACCAAACAGGGCAGTGTGTGTGGCCGGGGGAGGGGGAGGTACGACAGGGGAGACCAGGGCTGCGGCCAGGCTGATACATTGTTAAAAGACGGTGGCACGTATGTCAGGAAAGGTGCATGGTATTCACTTGTTGGTGACAAGTAGAATAACTGTCTGTCTCAGTGCTCTTGGCTGTGAGCATTCAAGATGCAGTTTTTGAGCCAAGTATGTCTGTTTAAGCCCTTGGTAGACAATGCAGCCACTCAGCAGTTATGGGGAGCAGGTGAGTCCTTGCCACGGGCCCAGTGGAAGCCTCAACCTATGTCCCTGGTTCCCTGCAGCAGCCGAATCCGGTGGAGCAGCGGTACATGGAGCTCGTTGCCCTACGCGACGAGTATATCAAGCGGCTGGAGGAATTGCAGCTCGCCAGCTCTGCCATGCTTGCGGACCCACCGAGCTCACCTGCCAGCCCTTCGCAGATGGTGCCCCACGTGCAGACGCACTTCTGAGAGGCACCCTGGCAGGGTGCAGCACGACTGGAGGGTTCGGAATAAAGGCAATAGTTGACTTTCCTTTGGGCATCTGTACAAAGTAGATTGAAATATTTGCCTCTGCGTAGAAATGAACTAACGTAACCTTCGACTCTTGAACATGTGCCTTCTAGAACACACATTGCAAGGAAACCATATAATGTCCACATGGCGATCAGAAGAGAGGGGCCGAGGTGAGGTTTTGGGGAATGTTGACACCTTGCAACTGCAGATCTTGAAAGAGAAATTTTAACTTTAATTTACTGCTATGGAAATGCTGTGTCTAAAATATGTGTCTCATAGGCTTAATTGAAACCACATTTTAAATTATGGGGAAAATCTGTTTGTAGAGTAGGTTTCCCTCAAGTTGCTTTTAATAGTTGCTTTGGATTATCTCTAAAATGAATCCACATGTGAAAGATGTATGTTAGGGCCGAGGCCCAGTTGAGCTCAGCTTCCTTAGCATTACTCAGAAGCAAGGTATTTCAAAAATTGCCAACTTTTAAAATGTCCAAAGTGGTGACTGAAGGAGAATTCACTGTGTAGATGAGTCTTGTATTATTTTTAAATTTTGGAATATAACATGTTTCCTCCTGACTTTCAAGAGAAGCATATTTTGATATTAAGAAATGGATGGGGCCCAGTTAAAATATGACTTGACTTTTTTTCTACTATCCCAGTTCTCCTTTCTAAATTCTTTCACAAGCTTGCCTAAAATCCGGAATCATTTCAGGCTAGGGAAAGCCCCATCTCTGACACTGTTTCCGGATGTTAGGTGCATTGTGCTTCTTAGGCAAATGTTTTCATACATGTGGCTCGAGTCAGTTGAGCTTACCTGCCAAAATGCAGGGTCAGCCATCTTAGATGTCTGAGCTCTTGCCAGATGTATATGCATCGAGTGTATTCTTGAACGTATTGTGCTTATGAATTTCAGTTTAAATGGTGTTGGGTTTCCTTCCCCCATGGCGTGCATAAAAACTGGTTCTACAAATTTTTACTTGAAGTACCGGGCAGTTTGCTTTTTCAGGTTTTGTTTTATAGTTTAAGTGAAATTTTAAATGCACAGTTCTATTTGATATCTAAACTAATTCATTTAGTAAGTATATTTGTAAAAGCTAAGGCTACAGTTAAAACAATTAATGTGTATTACAGTGATTTGTAAAGGACTATTTATAGCTAATATGATTTTGTTCTCAGTGAATTAAGAGAGATTAAATATATCTTTGTAAATTATTTTATGTCATAGCTTAATTGGTCTACCAAATAAGACATCTCAAATATAGCAGTATAATGTATGTATTTTGTAAGTATAAGAAATTTTATTAGATATTCTCTTGCTTTTTGTAAACGCTGTAAATATTTCATAAATTAACAAAGTGACACTCTGTAAGAAGAAAAAAAGAGCTAATACTAATAGCTTAAAGGGTTTTGTGAAATTTCATGAAAACTTTTTCATGGCAATAATGACTAAAGACCTGCTGTAATAAATATATTAACTAAAACCTAGCACTCTAGCGTCGGGGCTGTAACTGTGTTTGTGTTTGAAATGTATATGGTGCCCATCATATTGTGTTCTCCAAGACCTATATCACATGCTCTATCTTACTAGCATCCTTGCAGGGCTCTCCTAAAAATTCTAGCAATGCTGGATATGTAAGTACATTGATGAAGAATTTAGAATCACAACTGTCTATAAGGATAGCTTCTGCAAAAGTGCTAGGGTGAATGGACGCCAAACTTCAGACACGGAGTGAAGAACACAGCACACAGCAGTTGATGATAGGGACGGTGAGATATTGATTTAAGAAGACCATACTTAATGTCTCATTAGGTAAGTATTTTAAAAATTCTTCAGATGATATTGCCAGTTGGACATTTCATTCTACAATAGGTTCCAGGACCACACCCTACCACCATGGACACCAAAATCCACAGATGCTTGAGTCCTTTCATCAAAAGACATATTATTTGTGGGGCCAGCAGGTGGCATGGTGGTTAAGGGCACTGGACTCCTACATGGCCAACTGCAGTTCGAGTCCTAGATCTGGGGGCTTGCTTTCTCACTTTCCTTTTCTCTCTCTCTCTCTCTCTCTCTCTCTCTCTCTCACACACACACACACACACTCACTCTCTCACTCTGTCGCTCTCTGGTCAAATTAAAATAAATAAAGTTAAATAAAAATAATTTTAAGAAAGACAAACTATTTGCATATAACTTAATGCGCATCCTCCTGTGTACTCTCAGTCACCTCTAGATTTCTTACAATAGCTAATACAGTGTAAATGCTCTTTAAATAGGTGTTATGCTGAATTGTTTAGGGAATAATGGCAAGGAAAAATGTGTGTGTGTGTGTGTGTGTGTGTTCATTGTACATACCATCAGCAACAACAGGATATGTTCACTTTGCTGCTGGTAGAATCCACAGATTCCAAACTCGTAGATATGGAGGGCTAACTGTATATATGTGAATCCTAAGAATGCCTAATAGTTATGAGAATAAACAAAAATTAACCATGTCTTAAAAATCCGAATAGGACTCCCAGAAGATGAAATGTATCTTTTAAAACTGAGTATTAAAAACGCTTTATGGTGTTCTTCCTCAGGCATTGTTGCACCCACCCCTCACTATAAGGACGTCTTCACTACAGGGGCTCACTGACATGCCCAGTCCCACAGCATTAGAACAGTCATGCCGTATTAACCTGAAGTCCACCACTCTTGGCTTCTCATGGCATGGCCTCAGCACTGCCTTTTGGGAGGAAATAGAATAGCCTGTCTTCCTGGCACAGCCCTTCAAATACTTTGGAATCATATGTATTTTTCTTTTCTTTCTTCTTTCTTCTTTCTTTCTTTAAATTTACATTTAACCACATGTCTTCATAGTATTTTCCAACACAAAAACCATGCATGTCAGTCAGGACAAGGATATTACCATATATATTATCAGCAGCAGATAGCTTCTCAGTTATGCATATATTTTGGAGTCATATATGTTTGATAATCTAACAGCTTTTCTAAATAGTCACAGCACTTTCTGATCCTTTTGCAGTTGACATAATGTACATATTTATGGGGAAACTGTGATGTTTGCACACATGTACACTGAGTAATGATCAGGTCAGGGTAATTAGCATATCCATCTCCTTGAACAGTTCTCATTTCCTCGTTGTGAGAACATTCAAAATCCTCTCTCCTAGATTTGAAATATACACTGAATTGTTCTCCACGGTCCCGCCACTGTGCATTAGCATGGCCAGACTTCCTCCTGTGTGACTGTCACATTGTACCTGGGGACCAACCTCCCCCCATCGCCTCCTCCTCTCTGTCCTCTCCAGTCTCCAGTAACCTCTACTCTACTCTTGACTTCTATGAGATTGGGCTTTAGTTTCCACCTATGAGGAAGACCACATGGTTTTGATAATGCAGCAAAGCTTATTCTTTTGCTTTTTTGGAAGGAAAAACAGTTGCAAAATAAGCTGACTGGTATCACTCACAACCCTTTCTACGTAGGTAGATGTGTGGTGTCAGTCATGCAGACGACTCTCGTGATATTGGAGAGTGGGCATTAGACAATATTAAAGGCAAATTCTTTTTTTTTTTTTTGGAGAGATTTTCGCTATCGGGCGTGTGCGCTCACCAGACAGACAGAGAGAGACATAGAGACAGAAAGCGAGAAATCACCCCCAGGGGGGATGGTCATGCCGCAATCCCTTCTCCTCCATTCTCCTCTTGGGATCTTGGGCACGCATGCACACGCGCCCGGCGTGAGTTTTAAGCCACCGGGTCCGGGACGTGAACCACGGTTGACTACGTAGGAATCCAGCGACATAGCCATTACGCTAACTGCTGGTTCCCTTAAAGGAAAATTCTTAAGACGTGGCAACTTATTGTAGAGTATATACACCTATGACTAGGAAACTTAGCCATTGCTGGCCATTAAAGCAGAATCAGAGAATACCCAAGAAAATAAGACATGTATGCAGCATGCAACCCACAAACAAGAATGAGCATTAGCACACTTGCAGAAAACTTACAAAAGTGTTGGAAGAAAACATTAGCACACTTGCAGAAAACTTACAAAAGTTTTTGAACAAATTTCAGGTGAAAATTTTTAATTTACTGTAGGGTATGTGTGCTCACTGGAGAGAGAAAGAGAGAGAGAGAGAAAGCACCCCATAAGGGAGCATTGCCACACCATAATCCCTTCTTCTCCATTTTCCTCTTGGGATTTTTCAGTACACATGCACATGTGCCTGGCAGGTTTTTCAACCACTGGGTCTGGGACTCCCACCATACAGTGGGCCATGTAGGATCCAGCCACCTTAACCACCTGACCACTGGCTGGTCCCTTAGTTGAAGTTATTTAGATTGAAAGAACCACTAAGAGCATAAAGCTGGAATGCCAATATTTGAATTCCTCTAATATGCCAAATTTGTTGGTAAATGTATGACTTAGTTAGGAATTGTTGGCAAGGCCTTCCGTATTAAGCATACTTGGGAGAGGAAACATAGGCAAAACAAAGTAGCCTCATTTCCTTAGGAGACGTAGATTCAGGTATGGGTTATTCTTTATTTACAGTAATTCAGCTTGTTCTTTAAAAGTAAAGGTGATAGGGGCCAGCAGGTGGCATGGAGATTAAGGCGCTGGATCCTACGTAGTCAACTCCACATTTTGAGACCCAGTGGCGTGAAAATCATGCCAGGTGATGCACCCAAAATCCCGAGAGGATCCTGAAGGAAAAGGAATTGAGATGTGGCTATCCCCCCTCCCCCCGGGGAGTGATTTCTTTTTCTTCTCTCTCTCCCCTCCAGCAAGCACACATGCCCTATAGCAAAAAAAAAAACAAAAAAAAAAAAAACATAAAAGAGCAAAGATGATAACATAATGAAAAAATATGGAATGGGCCAGCCAGTGGTGCAGGGGTAGCACAATGCTCCGCCATTCTGGGCTCTGCAATTCTGGACCCATGTGGGACGGTCCGGGTTTGCATCCAAGGCCTCCCTGCATACACCAGGTGTATTTTACATGTGCCCATGATGCAGGCTGGCTGAGGCTGGGGGGGGATTGTAGTATGAAGACTCCATTGGTGATGTCTCTCTTAATACATAGACTTTAAAAGTACATAGAATAGCTAAACATTTAGACAGAAACATTAAGCCTTAGTTCATTTTTCTAGTAGCTCTTAAGAACATGGCTTATTCATTTACAGTGGTTAATACTTCGGTGCTTCTGAAACTAAGTTTCACAGTACCTTCCACATAAATTATAAAAGGAAGTGGTTCACCTCACTTCATGAGCTTTACATACAGATCTGTATAAGAAAGAACCTGGAGGGATGTACGGAAACCTGAGTTCCTGTCTGGGCTCTGGCGCTGACTCGTGGCCCTCCTATGGAAAGCATGAGTGAGGTCTTCCCATCCCCGATGCCACAGATCTGGAGAATCTCATTGGCACATTTCAGGGAGAGTGTGGGCTGCGTGTTCTCTCTGTTTTGTTACAACTCAAATGCTGCCCTGCCCTCAGGAATGCTTTTTAGTGACTTTATATTATGGCACAAGATGACATTTGCTGCACATACTAGTTTCCTGTTTCTACTATAAGAAATTTACCACGGGGGGGCCAACAGGTGGTGTGGTGGTTAAGGCGCTGGGCTCCCACATGGCCAACCACGGTTTGAGTCCTGGGTCTATCTTTCTCTGTCCCTCTCCAGTGATTGTACACACCCTATGGCAAAAACCTTAAAAAATAAATAAATAACAAAAGTCGAATACATAAAATCAAACAATGTTGGAGGGGGAGGAAATGGGGAGATGTAAATCAAAAAATGCAAAGTAGAAGATAAGCAGGATTGAGAAGTCAAGGGATTGAATGTGCAACATGAGGACTGCATTCAGGGTTCTTGCTGAAAGAGTAAATTCACACGAAAATGGGTAACTGAGATGATGGCTATATTTGCTTGACTATAGTAACCATTTCAATCTAATGTATATCAAAACATTGTGTTGTACACCTTAAATATGTACTTTTAAAAAAGAATCTATAAAGAGAAAAAAAGTTAGGTAGGAACTCAGTCACATCTGTCATCAGGGAGATGTGCATTCAAACCATCATGAGATACCACCACATACCCATGTATTGCAATCTGGCAATCCCTACTGGAACTCTCTCAGACGTTTTGGAATTCTTGGAGAACAGTAGGCTTTATCCAGTAAAATAAGAGTGATACCAACCGTATGACCTAGCACTTCCACTCTCACATATATAGTCTTAAGAAATGAGGACTTCTGTGCACCAAAAGACAAATACAAGAATACTCATAACAGCATTGCTTGTAATAACCAGCAATAACAACTCACATATCCACCTAGAGTAGAACAGATCAATTGTGGCATATTTACACCGTGGACTACTACACACTCAGGATAAATGATCAAACCACAGCTACTTACAACACAAATGAGTCTCATAAGCATGTTGATTGAAAGAAGCCAGGTACAAAAGAAT